CCCATTTTGTAATGTTTACCATTATCACATTTAATAGATTCTTTTTTAAGAAAGAATATTTGGGCTGGGGATGTGGCTCAAGCGGTAGCGCACTCGCCTGGCATGCGTGCGGCCCGGGTTCCATCCTCAGCACTACATACAAACAAAGATGTTGTGTCCGCTGAAAACTAAAAAATAAATATTAAAAAAATATTTATTTTTTAGTTACCTTTATTTCTATGTGGTGCTGAGGATTGAAGCCAGGGTCTCACAAGTTTGAGGAGGCGAGCGCTCTACTGCTGAGTCACAACCCCAGTCCTTAATAGATTCTTTTTTTTTTTTTTCTTTTTTTTTTTCAGTTGATGGACCCTTATTTTATTCATTTATTTTTATGTGGTGCTGAGAATTGAACCCAGTGCCTCAGACATGTGAGGCAAGTGCTCTACCACTGAGCCACAACCCCGCCCCCCCCTTCCCCGGTTAATAGATTCTTTATATCAATTCTCCACCTCATGTTTTATCTGGCTCTAAGGTTTTCATATCTGAAAAAAGAGGAAAATTGGGATTTGTTTAGAGATAAGGAAAATGAGAGATTTTTATATCAGATTATACACACACACACACACACATACATATATATGTATTTTTGTTTGTTTGCTTTTGTTCTTTTTTGGTGGGGATATCCGATATTGAACTCAGGGGCACTCTACCGCTGAGCCACATCCCCAGCCCTATTTTGTATCTTACTTAGAGACAGGATCTCACTGAGTTGCTTAGCACCTTGCTTTTTTCTGATGCTGGCTTTGAACTTGAAAACGTACTGCCTCAGCCTCCTAAACTGCTGGGATTAATTATAGGCCTGAGCCACCATGCCCAGCTCAGATTTTAGATATATTGTTAAAGAGAAAGAACTATGATATGTAAAGGACCATATATTTACCAGCATATAGGTTGCTTACGTATTTTTGGTCCAGGTATACAATAGATTATTTGTGTGTGGACAAATTTAAATCTTTCATATTGAGTTACTAAGTTTCTAGAGTTTTGTTTTGTTTTTTTGTCTCTTGAAGTCTGGATTCTTGGTTTGTCATAGGGATACTTCATGTGATCTTCATATATTTAATTTAATTGCTTTTATATTTTAAGTAGAACTTGTGACCAGAAAAATATAGAATTTCCCAATTATATTGGTTATTTTTCAGTTACTGACTCAAAAAACTTTTCAGCACATATCACTTTAGAGTTTTATTTTCCTTTATTTAAAATTGTAGATGGACATAATACCTTTATTTTATTTATTTATTTTCATGTGATGCTGAGGATTGAACCCAGTGCCTCACACATGCTAGGCAAGCACTTATACCACTGTGCTACAACCCTAACCCTGCTTTGGAGTTTTAAATCCATGAATAGGACCTTAGAAATAGTTAAATGAGTCTTTTGAACTTTTTTTTTTTTTTTAAAAGAGAGAGAAAGAGAGAATTTTTTAATATTTATTTTTTAGTTTTCAGCAGACACAACATCTTTGTTTGTATGTGGTGCTGAGGATCGAACCCGGGCCACACGCATGCCAGAGGAGCACACTACCGCTTGAGCCACATCCCCAGCCCGAGTCTTTTGAACTTTTTGCCACTTGGATCACAAACGTCTTTCTTTTTCTATCCTAGTTGGAACCATTGTAACTTGTAGCAAAATATAGAATATAGGTTGGTTAATTGAAGAATTAAAAAAAGTGTGTGTGTGTGTGTATATGTATATGTGTGTATTTTAATACTGAGAATTGAACCCAGGGGTACTCTATCACTGAGCTGCATCCCCAGACCTTTTTATTTTTATTTTATTTTTTTTTTTTGAGAACAGGTCTTGTTATGTTGCTGAGGCCGACCTTGAACTTAAAACCCTCCTGCCTCAGCCCCTAAGTAGCCGGAATTACATGTATGTGGCACTATGCCTCACCCCAGCCCTTTTTTATCTTGTGATAGAGTCTTGCTAAGTTTTGCAGTCTGGCCTCAGACTTTTGATACTTCTGCCTCAGTCTCCTAAGTAGCTGGAATTACAGGCATGTGTTACTGTTGCCAGCTAAATATGATTTTTTTTTTTGCATTTAAATAACATTTAATGATATGGAAACAATATCCTGATAAGTGAAAAGCCTAAATATAAAACTGATTTTATGGGGTGGAGTTGTAGCTCAGTGGTAGAGCGCTTGCCTAGCACATGTGAGGCACTTGGTTTAATCCTCAGCACCACATAAAAATAAAAAGGAATAAAATAAAAGTATTTAAAAAGAGTAATGTTACAATATAACCCTAACTTATTAAAATTTTCTTTTTGCCTTTGTATATCAAAAGCAGGGTGTTTGGAAACCATATATTAATAGTGATGATATCTGAGCTAAATATGAATTTTAATATACCAAATCTTTTAAAAGTTGACTGTAATATTCCCTATGTGTCCATTCAGACAGAAATGCATTCAAAAGAGCATTTGACCTGATTTTCCAAGTCATACATTGATTGATATTAAGTATCTTATTTTAGATAATTTCAGTATCCCCTTGGTCAACAAGACCAAGAGAAGTCTGATTTGTGGTATTAAAACTATTCTAGGGAGATACTTTCTAGGTAGATGTTAATCCTGGAATGATTCTCCTGAAACTGGAAACTCATATTACAAAAAGGAAAGAAGGAATTATATATTTTATATGACCATTGACATTCCCTCCCTCCCCCCACCCCTTTTTTGTGGTCCTTGGGGTTTAACCCAAGGGAGCTCTACCACTGAGCTATACATCCAGCCTTTTTTACTTTTTATTTTGAGACAGGGTCTCACTAAGTTGCTGAGGCTGGCTCAAACTGGCAATCTTCCTGCCACAGCCTCCGGAATCACTGAGATTACTGGTGTGCACCACTTCACTATCTTCTAACATTGCCTCTTTGACTAGTTAGAACTGTCCAGGAGGGATTGTGGAAAACTGTCTGCCACACTTGTTTTGTTTTGTGGAGGGACAAATTGTCAGTTTAATATAAATCAGTATCATATAAGCCAGAGAGATGAAAACCAACCATCAGACATTGCAGGATACGCTCTGAGAATCTGTTAGAACTGAGGAAATTTCTTCAGTCCCTTTCAGAGGAACAGTTGCTTGTGATGGTAGGTTAAATGAACTTTGGGGATCAAAGACTATAATTTGGGTCTTTATAATCCTGGGGATGTTAGAATTCTCACGTTCCTTGGTACATTACTAAGGAAAATAAATTAGTTGGTGTATGTGATGCTAACTAATTTATTTTCCTTATTTAGTGCTTGCTTCGGCAGCACATACACCAACTAATTTATTTTCCGTATGTGCTTCTGTTTTATGTTGGGAGTATATAAAATACCAGTTTCTTTCCCCCAAAAGTACTTGTTCGCCCTCCAGTGATATATATATATGATAATTGGGCTGTAGTTTGCACACATTTCATGCTTTAGATGGCATTGTTTGTATTCTTTTAATTTTCCAATTTTTAATTTGAAAATTATAAACAGACTTATAATGCAAATGGATTAATGTGAAAGTGCGAATGAGTTCAATTTAATTTCATTATTATTTACTTATTTTAAATAAATTTTAATTTATTAATTTTTTGGCACTGGGGATTTTTTAAAAATTGCTTTTATTTTTTAAATACATGACAGCGGAATGCATCACAATTCTTATTACACATATGGAACACAATTTTTAATATCTCTGTTTGTATGTAAAGTATGTTCACACCAGTTCATGTTTTCATACATGAAAATGATGTCCATCACATTCCACCATCATTGCTGACCCCAAGCCTCCTGCCTTCCCCTCCCACGCCTCCACCCTACCTAGAGTTTGTCTATTCATCCTATGCTCCCTCTCCCTACCCCACTATGAGTCAGTCACCTTATATCAGAGAAAACATTCGGCATTTGTTTTTTTGGGGATTGGCTAACTTCACTTAGCATTATCTTCTCCAACTGCATCCATTTACCTGCAAATGCCATGATTTTATTCTCTTTTATTGCTGAGTAATATTCCATTGTGTATGTAATGCACATTTTTTTATCCATTCATCTACTGAAGGGCATCTAGATGATTCCACAGTTTAGCTATTGTGAATTGTGCTGCTATAAACATTGATGTGGCTGTGTCCCTGTAATATGCTATTTTTAAGTCCTTTGGGTATAGACCAAGGAGAGGGACAGCTGGGTCCAATGGTGGTTCCATTCCCAGTTTTCCAAGGATTCTCCATACTGCTTTCCATATTGGCTGTACCAATTTGCAGTCCCACCAGCAATGTATGAGTGTACCTTTTTCCCCACATCCTCGCGAACACTTATTTTTGTCTTCATAATAGCTGCCATTCTGACTAGAGTGAGATGGTATCTTAGTTTTGATTTGCAGTTCTCTAATTGCTAGAGATGATGAACATTTTTTCATATATTTGTTGATTGATTGAATATCCTCTTCTGAGAAGTGTCTGTTCATGTCCTTGGCCCATTTATTAATTGGGTTATTTGTTTTTTTGGTGTTTAGCTTTTTGAGTACTTTATATACCCTAGAGATTAGTGCTCTATCTGATGTGTGAGGGGTAAAAATTTGCTCCCAAGATGTAGGCTCTCTATTCACCTCACAGATTGTTTCTTTTGCTGAGAAGAAACTTTTAATTTGAGTCCATCCCATTTATTTAATCCAGGGACACTTTATCACTGAGCCACATCCCCAGCCCTTTTTATTTTTTATTTTGAGACAGGGCCTCACTAAGATGCTGAGGCTAGCTTTGAACTCATGATCCTCCTACCTCACTCTTTTGAGTTGCTGGGATTATAGGTATATGCCAGTATGCCTGGCTGAATTTAATTTTAGTAGCTAAGAAATTTAAATTATTAGAATCACCATAGTTTTTTTTTTTTTTTTTTTTTTTTTTGTTTTTTTTGTTTTTTTTTGTTTTAATCTTTATTCTCTTCCTGGTCATAAAAATAATACATGCTTACTATTAATAAATGTCTTACACTACAGAAAACCAAAAAAAAAAAAAAAAAAATTCTCCCAGAATCCTACCCCTAGAGATACTTATTACTCTCTGATAAATTTTATTAAGCATATAGTAGTAAATAAGTAGCATAAAGTGGGACCCTTATATACATTTGTGCTTCTCTGTTCTTGTCTAAGTTTCCACATGGTTCTGACAAATAACTCAATAGACAGGTTCTCCAGAGAACTTTAAGCATTAGTTTTTAAAGAAGATTCAATCACGCAAGATGCAGAAAAAACTCTTTAAGGGCCGGGGCTGTGGCTCAGTGGTAGAGCACTTGCCTAGCATGCGTGAGGCACTGGGTTCGATTCCCCTGCACCATAAAAAAATAATAATAAAATAAAGGTACTGTGTCCATCTACAACTAAATTATATTTATATATATATATATATATATATATATATAGAGAGAGAGAGAGAGAGAGAGAGAGAGAGAGAGAACTCTTTAAGATTTTTACCATTCACTATTTAATACTGTCCAAAGTATTTTTTTAAACATTTATTTTTTAGAAGTAGTTGGACATAATATCTTTATTCTATCTATTTATTTTTATGTGGTGCTGAGGATTGAACCCTGGGCCTTGCACATGTTAGATGAGAACTCTACCGCTGAGCCACAATCCCAGCCCACTGTCCAAAGTATTAAAAGCAAAATTATTCTTTAAAAAATAGAAAATCAATAATAATGAGTCTGACACAGAAAGAAAATAATTCTAAAAACTCAGCCCAGTTTCTTATCAAAATACAAACTCCTAAATTTCAATTCCAGCAAGTATCACAAAGTAGCTTAAAAATTCTAATGTGGGAAATAATCACCTCTTTGCCATAAAATACAGCTGCAGAAATGATTCTACAATTCTTCTCATTTAAGACATAATGGATGGGAAAGAACAAGAGACACGCAACATGGAACAGAGTTCAGCTTTTGCAGCTCATAAAGGACAATTTTGATTCAACCTCCCACAGCTTCGTTTGCAATGCTTTCAAGACATCTTCCATCTGTTTTAGAGACTTTTCTATTTCAACTCGGCTTTCAAGATTAAAAAGCTCTTTATCTTCTGGCATAATTTGTTTTTCAGAGGACCCTAAAGTATAACTTTCAATGGCTTCAACACTGAGGCAAAACAAGTCCCTCTTATAATCTAGATTCTTGGGAGTGCACCTGAATACATAGCCAAGATGGAGGGAGCAACCCGCACAGTACAGGGTCTCGAGAATGCAACCATTTTCATCTTTACGTTTGGAAAGCTTCTGCTCTTTATCCACAGAAACATTACAGGAAACACCTGGGAACCAGGCCCCAGCCCCCCCAGCGCGGCCTGCCCGCACTGACAGCGCAGCAGGATGCAGTTGGTGTCCTCCTGGCTGGTGACCCAGCTCAGCGAGTCGCCCAGCGGACGCCGGCAGCCAGAGCATAGGAACACCAGCGGGGGCTCCGCCGGGGCCGCCTCCTCGGGAAACTTCTCGGTGCTGGCCTCGGAGGCGTCTGTGCTCACGGAGTTCCACATGCTCGCCCACTTCTCCAGCAGCCGGTGGCGGCCCGAGTCCTCCGAGAGCCGCCTGCCCAACAGCGACGAGTCGTTCCTCTTATCCTTGAGGTCACCCGCGCAGCAAGTGGAGGTACACCCTCTGTGACGATCCAATGACCAAGAGCCCGCCATAATCTACTCACCATAGTTTTTAATTGGTAGTCCTTCATTCAAACTATAGGGCTTCACTTTTTGAGAGAAGGTAAGAAATGATAAGTGTATGGAGGAGTAAACCTGGGAGGGACCATAAGTGCTTAGATTCTCCTGAGGGATATCTCTTATTGTTTCCCACTTTAAAACTGTTTTTATAAGTGTGGCACAGGGGCATATAATCCCAGTGACTTGGGAGGCTGAGGCAGAAAAATCACAAGTTCAAGGTTAACCTCAGTAACTTTTTTTTAAATATTTATTTTTTAATGGGACACAATATCTTTATTTTATTTATTTGTTTTTTGTGGTGCTGAGGGTTGAACCCAGGGCCTTGCACATGCTAGGCAAATGCTCTACCACTGAGCCACAACCCCAGCCCCTCAGTAACTCTTAATAAAGCCCTAATCAGGTTGGCAAGACCCTGTCACCAAAAAAGAAGGGGGGGGGGGGTGGCGGCGATGGGATGTAGCTGAGTGGTAGAATGCCCCTGGGCTCAATTCCTTGTACCCCCCCTAAAACAAAATGAAAACAATAAGTTTATCATTAATTAGATTCTAGTCAGTGTAATAAGACAAGAAAAATTAAAAAGAAAAGATATAAAGACTGGAAAGAAAGAAAGTTGTCATTATTTGCAGAGGAGGTGATTGACTATTAAAGAGTGAGAAATGTAGCTCAGTGGTAGAATGCTTTGTTAGCATGTGTGAGGCTTTAGATTCAACCCTCAAGACTGGGGGGAAACAAAAGAAGAGGTGATTGAGTATTAATAAAATTCCAGGACTGGGGATGTAACTTAGTGGTGGACTGCCAGTCTAGCATGCCTGAGGCCCTGGGTTTGATCCCTAGCAGTGAGAAAACACACAAAAAACAAAACAAACAAAAAAAAAAAGAAAAGAAAAAGAAAAGAAAAGAAAAAAACATCCAAAGAGGCAAAGGAAGTGGCTCGCACCTGTAGTACCAGCTACTTGGGAGGTGGAGGCAGGAGGATTTCTGGTGCCCAGGAGTTCAAGTCCAGCCTGGGTAACATAGTAGACAACAAACAAAAGCTCACCTTGTTTTTGAAATTTTGTTACAATGGAATGATTCTGTTTAAAATTTGTGTGTCTTTTTTAGTTGATATATTCAAAATCATCCATGTGGGGGCTGGGATTGTGGTTTGGCGGTGGAGTGCTTGCCTAGCACATTCGAGGACCTGGGTTTGATCCTCCACACCACATAAAAATAAACAAAATAAAACTATTAAAAAAATTACCCATGTGGTATGTAGTTCCAGTTTGTTTTCATTATTATATGGTATTTCTTTTTTTATTTAATTTAGTTATACATGACAGTATAACTTTGTCTAGTTTAACCACCATTTGACCCATTATTTGTGTAAATAAATCAGTGTTTGTCCATCTTATTGCTGGTAGTCATTTGAATTGAATTGTTTCTAGTTTTGTATTTTTATGAACAATTTTGCTAAAGAGCATTCTTATACATATGTATACACATATCTTTTGTGTACATGTCCAGGAACAGGATTAGTGGATCATAAAATTTATGTTTTTAATGTTTTTAGATAATGTCAACTGTTTTCCAGTATTTCCATATGTTTTACAATATGGTGGTGTTAATGTGTATTCTGATCATCAGTTTTTCCTGGAAGCTGAGAAAAGTCAATTCTGAAATTTGTATGACAGTGAAAAATAAGACTTTCCTGAAGAGTAATAACAAAGTGAACAACTTGCTGAATGTATTGGTCACAGTATTTATTTCTCATTCACATTACTTGCCCATTGTACATTAGTAGGGAAACCTTACAAATTATAATCAGTTAGTAACTCAGGTGATGTAGGAACCTAGCTTGACATGATAATAGCTTTCTTATTATCATGTATAACTGCCATTTTACCCACCAGCTGACTCTGGCATGCATTTTGAATCTTATATATTGGATAAATAAAATTGTTAAGATAGCCTGGTGCAGTCGTGCATGTCTGTAATCTCAGTGGCTAAGAAGACTGAGGCAAGAGAATCGTGAATTCAAAGCTAGCCTTAGCAACTTAGTGAGGCCCTAAGTAACTCAGCAAGACCTGGTCTCTAAATAAAATTTTAAAAAGGGCTGGAGCGGGGCTGGGATTGTGGCTCAGTGGTAGTATGCTCGCCTAGCATTCATGAGGCACTGGGTTAGATCCTCAACACCATATAAATGTAAAATAAAGATATAGGTCTACCTAAAACTAAAAAAAATATATATATATATATATATTTTTTTTAAAAAAGGGCTGAAAGGGCTGGGGTTGTGGCTCAGTGGTAGAGTCCTTGCCTGGCATATGTGACGCACTGGGGTTAATTCTCAGCACCACATATAAATAAATAAAATAGGGGTCTTGTGTCCATTTACTATAATATATAAAGAGCTGGAGATGTGGCTCAGCGGTTGAGTTCAATCCCCAGTAATCAATCAATCAATCAATCACCCCCCTGAAAAACAAACTATTAACATATATCAGTTAAGAAATAATTCAGGCATCAGTGGCAGAGACAAAACACTTAGCTGACACCCCCACCCCCGCTTTTTTTGGCCACATTCCCAGCCCTATTTTGTATTTTATTTAGAGACAGGGCCTCACTGAGTTGCTTGGTGCCTCGCCATTGCTGAGGCTGGCTTTGAATTCACAATCCTCCTGCCTCACAGCCTCCCGACCTGCTGGGATTACAGGTGTGCCCCACTGTGCCTGGCAGTCTTTTTTTTTTAAATAACTTTATTTTTATTTATTTATGTTTTTATGTGGTACTAAAGATCAAACCCAGTGTCTCACGTGTGCTAGAAAAAGTTCTACCACTGAGCCACAACCCCAGCCCCATGTTAATAGTTTTTGAGAAAGCCTAGGTACATTCCAGTTGGCCATAGACTAACTTTGTCTAGTTTAACCACCATTTGACTCAACTATCCCTCTCCTTGGCCTATACCCAAAGGACTTAAAAACAGCATACTACAGGGATACAGCCACATCGATGTTTATAGCAGCACAATTCACAATAGCTAACCTAAATAAAATACCCTTCAGTAGATGAATGGATAAAAAAATATCCTTCAGTAGATGAATGGATAGAAAAATGTGGCATATATAAACAATGGAATATTACTCAGCAGTAAAAGAGAATAAAATCATGGCATTTGCAGGTAAATGGATGCAGTTGGAGAAGATAATGCTAAGTGAAGTTAGCCAATCCCCCAAAAAACAAATGCCGAATGTTTTCTCTGATACAAGGAGGCTGATTCATACTGGGGTAGGGAGAGGGAGCATGGGAGGAATAGAGGAGGAGAGGGGAGAGGGGTGGGAAGAGAAGGGAAGGGGCATAGGGTTAGAAATGATGGTGGAATGTAATGGACATTATTATCCAAAGCACATGTATGAAGACATGAAATGAATTGGTATGAATATACTTTGTATACAACCAAAGATATGAAAAATTGTGCTCTATATGTGTAATAAGAATTGTAATGCATTCCGCTGTCATATATAAATAAAAAAATTAAAAAAAGAATTACTCAGAAATACACACACACACACACACACACACATACACACCCCTTCCTCCCACTTTGGGGTGCAGGGATCTTCCTTTCTTGCTGCCACCCAAGACACAGTGCTGTTCTTAATGTGCTAATAATTTGCAGTCTTGGATATTTGTCTGCCTCCTTCTTTGTTCTCTTTGCATATTCCACCTTTGGCGGCTAGTTCTTGGACACTATATTTCTCTGAATTAGGTACCAAAGCTGCAACCCTTTTGAATATTATTCGTTGCTAAGTTAGAGGGACAAAAAGTTCTATAGAATTTTGTGTGGGAAATTTAAGTGTTCAGCAGTTCTCTTCTACTCACAGCTCATTAAGCAGAATGAATCATCTTGACCTGTTGAACCAAGTGGATCAGGAAGTATGATTCTTTAATGATCCCTTGGGCAAGCAGTATTGATGATTATACTTTACCAGAAATCAAAATTTATAAAACGGTAGTAAATGTTACTTGTAGTACAATACTATTTATAAGTAAACAAATGGAATAAAATCAAGATTTCCGAAACAGATATATTAGAGACTTGCCACTTGCTTGTGAACCAAAGATAAAGTGAACTTTTCAATAAACGGTGCTTAGATAATTGTTTACTCATAAAGGGGGGGGGGAGAAATTAGATCCCTACTTCATATTATACAAAATTTAAAAATTTTTAGAACTATGAATTTAAAAATGGATACATTTTACTATAGAAAATTCAATAATTTCTCTTCACCAAAAAGACTCCATAGGGAGAGAATAAAGATAAGGCTATAAGCTGGACATATCGGTTCATGCCTGTAATTCTAGAAGCTCAGGATGGTGAGGAAGAAGGATTGCAAGGTCCAGACCAGCCTTGACAATTGAATGAAATCCTGTCTTAAAATAAAAAATAAAAAGGACTTGGGATGTAGTTCAATGATAGAGTGATCCTGGGTTCAATCTCCAGCACAAGCAAAACAAAACAAAAAAGTGAGGGGGGTTATAAACTAATTGGAAGGAGAATACCTGTAGTATGTACAATCAACAAAGAATTAGTATCCAGTACAGAACTCCAGAGAAAATTTCCTATAAAGAATGAGTAAAAGATAAATGAGTCAAGAGAAAAATGGGCAAAGATATAAACAGGTATGTTTCAGAATAGGAATCTCAAATGATCACTAAGTATGTGTAAGATGTTCACCCCAATTAGTAATTTAAGAAATGTAAGTTAAAACATTCTTTTCAGGGGCTGGGGTTGTGGCTCAGTGGTAGAGCTCTTGCTCAGCATGCGTGAGGCACTGGGTTCGATCCTCGGCACCACATAAAAATAAAATAAAGGTTATTATGTCTACCTAAAACTAAAAAAACAAATATAAATCAAAAACAAACCCAATACTTTTCATGTTGATAGGAAATTAAAAATCTGATAAAATTAAATGTTTCCAAATAGGTAGAATAATGAGAATTTGTATACATATATTGTTAG